TAATTTGGTCGTAGTTGGTTTCCACCACAGTGTTTACATTGAAATAAGCCCCGCCCCCTCTCCAGCGCGTCCTGTTTGAATGACAGGAGTAAACACAGCTGACAGCCGCGGTGAAACTCCAGCGGTTAGAGCAATGAGAATATTCGCATCGCGTCCGTTGTGAACGCAGCATAACGCAGTTCAGAAAACACTGTTCTGACGCTTTTAAAGCAACTTCGAGATTTTAACAGTGTGAGGGGCACACGGGGCACACAGGCTATGGTGGCCGTGGGACGTACAATTATTTGTGGGGCATAACGGCCAGACCGAGGAGCTACGACGGCCATGGCCGTCATGGCCGCCGTGAAAATCCTACCCTGGTCTTTACTCTATACTCATCATCTGCCATTATATTGAATGTATTCAATGCAGTACTGGTACGGAGCGTGTAGAGATAACTTACAAAAAGCTTCAGGAACTTGAGAATCCTCTTGTGAGTGAGAATATAGAGTGTGTTCCCGGTCAGGGGGTCGATGACAGGCAGTCTGTGGATCTTATTCTTCAGCAGGGATGATACTGCATCATACAAACTGAGACACAGAGAAGATTAAAGAGGACTAAGTCAATCAAGGTGTTTTGGACAAAGCATGTTGTAAGATGAAAAAAGTGAAAAGGAAAACAATCTAAAGAATAGCAAATAATGTTAGCTTTTTTAATTATTGGTAAAATAGTGAGAAGTAATCTTTACAAGTTAAATACTAACAGAACTTCAAATCTCCCAGCATCTTTATTTAGATTTAGAAAACTTTGAAACTATTGGAGATATTGATTACTTCATGAAGTTAATATGAATTCTACTATCAATCACACAATTGTAGAAAAGCTGCTTGTAGCCTCATCTTATTGCCAGGTAGTGTTTGAACTCTGCCTTTATAAACAGAGACCTTGGCCAAACCAAAAAGTCGTGAAGGAAAATGTCAGACAGCTACATTTGTACAATCTCAAAGACATCTGCTGTGAGTCAGGCAACTTTAAGGAGAGACTGTCACAGGCTAAACTATCAGATGCCTCCGTGTGCATCATCTTTGTGTCCAGATAAGAGAACTCAAAACAAAATGTAAATGCCTTGAAGTTCTTCTGTACAACAAAAGATGAATACAAAAAAAAATACACTCACCTCGCATTGGGAGAAATGCTAACCAAGGGTTTAAAAGAGTCTTGCAGGTACAACTCTATTACAAGAAAGAAAGAAAATACAGTCAAGACTTTCAAAATTCCACAAGTTCATTTAAAGAAGTATTATATATCATTACATATTAATTCAACTAAATCACCTCGCCACGTTTCAATTTTGTGTTCTTCCAACTCGTATATCTGGACCTAAAGGAAAACAAGGAGAGAAAGGGTTGACTTATTCAAGAAGATCTGAGAAAGGGCTGCAACTAAAGATCTTGGTTATGATAGATGAAGCTGTAGATACATTTAGAAATTGATAGATTAATTGTTTGGTCTATAAAATGATAGACAACAAGGAAAAAGGTCCATCCCAGATTAGGAAAAGTCCATGGAGATGTATACAAGTCCATGGAGATGTTTAAAAGTCTTGCTTTGTGAGTCCAAAAAAACAAAGACGTTTAGAATGAAAAAGAGTGGAGCGGGAAATCTCAACATTTGAGAGCCTAAAAACAGCCATTTCTGACATGTTTTCATGCATTACTTGAATCTGTTATCCGAGTAGTTGGTGATCAATTTTCTGTTCTGACTAATCATTAAGTCAACTGATAATTGCAGCTCTAGAATCAAACAAGCTTGAAAAGTTCTAAGGTCACATTCCTATTAGATAAAACACAGCCTGACAAATTCATCCCGAAATTCATCTTCGAGTTGTAAAATGTTATGCCTCATTATATGATTCTAGGTTGGTAACCAGTTAGTGTCCACAATCTTACCAATGGAGATTTGTAGTAGCGATGAAGGATGTTAATAAAGTCTGTGATGGTCAACATACCTATGGAGATGCATGAAGAGAATCAAGTCAAACCTTTATTTCATTTTGTCTTACACAGAGTGAAAGTGTACCAAAGGAAAATTGTCCTTACCGACGAAGCACTGCTTCTTGCTGTCCCACAGAGGCGCTGCTCTTACCCCATTAGAAACAAGGGCAAAAAAGGCTTTCTTCACCTGTGAAATAATTACAGCAAATAGTTCAGTTTACATTAGCCAATGACAGATAGATTTCATTTATGAAATGTAAAGTTTATTTTTTACCTGAAGTGATGTATCGAACACAACAAGTTTGGAGCTGGTAGGTACGAGGTCATAACACCGATGGGACTTCATAAACCTGGTGTACACATTGTGCTCTGGGTCTGAAGGAATGACAGAGACAATTCAGGACAATTATTTGCTGTTTTTAGACATGACTGTTTCTGACTTTGGTGTCGATGTATTTCTACATTAGTTTACCTTCTATGGCAGGGTCCTTTTTGCCCTCAAGATCATCAATAGCCACTGGAATCTGAAATAAAGAGATAAAGGTCTTTAACATTCAGTTGTCTGTGAGAACTTTAAATAAGTGAATGTGTATGGGTCAACTTTAATTATTTAGAAGCCTGCATAATATGGCCAAATAATCCTCAGATAAGCTAATGTAATGATCCAAAACTATGCAGCAACACTTAGGCTAGGCATGTGGTTTAACATGTTTATGATTTGAGCTTAGGTGCAACCCTAAACATTGTTACGTTTATGTATAATGTTGTTATAAGCTAACTTTGGAGTAGGGTTAATAAATGGGCAGCTGGGTTAAAGTTACATTAATGTGAGTGGATCGTGTAGGTAAAAATGTGTATGTTGTATGCTTCCATGGGTCAAACCTAACGTTATGTATTAGGTTGTTGTCAATGTGCATTTATCAAGGTCTCACTAACATTTGGTTCACAACATTATTACCAATTATACGCACTGACTCGTTGATTAAAACTGATTATATGCTAATTAGTTGCAGCTACTGTGTCTGCTATCAACAAGTTTAACAACTTGAGCTAAGCACAACCCTTTACCTGCCTCAGAAATGTGATCCATGGCTATAGTTGTATCCGCAGGCGTAAACGACTAATTTGGCAGTAGTGTTATAAAATAAGCTAAACCTTTTTGGCAAACCAACGGAGAGTGTCCTCGTTGTTGAAGTTATGTGTAAAACTGAATAAACTCCACTTTTAAACATTATTATAAGATTAGCATTAAGCATTAGCAACAAGCTAGCTGCTAGTCTGTTGACATTAAGGAGCCAGTCGAGGTGACTTAATTCGGCTGTGGCTTTTACTTTGGTGGCACTAGTAAGGTTTTATTGTACACTATGTCTTGGTTATCTTATATGCTAACTCTACAACGATACCGGGGGAAAGTAAAACATCGTTTTTGCTCTTCCTGGCGGTTTCCTAAAGTTAGTAACAAGTGAGCTAACGTTAGATTGAGAACTACTTTGCCAAGAATTAGCTAATTTACTTAGCTGCTAACATTAGCTTACTTCTGAAAGTCAGGTTATAACTAAGGTGAAAAGGGATTAATTACAAAACCGTACAATATCCACGCTTAAGTAGGCTAGATACACTTACACACTCCATATTCCATTCACGGTTTCTCCTTCCTGTAGCCGGGTTCGTTTACAGCCGGTGGGATCTTGCAGTCAGAACCACGCAGAGGCAGCAAGCGCATTTCGTTGCATCTGCAGGCAGTGGCAAGTACTTCCGGCAACTGCCACAGAGGCCGCTACTCTGTGGTATCTGTGGCAAGTACTTTCGGTATGCCACAGATGCCACAACTTGCCGAGGCATCTGCCGCTGCTCAACGGGAGTTGCCACAAGATGCCAGAGTAAGAGAAGGTTTACTGTAGCTGCGACTCGCCTTCCGTGGCAAATGCTGCTATTTAAACCCATATTTATCATGTAAAATGTCGCTGTTTAGGCATGAATTTATCGAACTGATCTGTACACAGGACTGATGATCTGTACACAGGGTTGGGTTGTAACGGAATACATGTAACGGCGTTACGTAATCAGAATACAAAAATCAAGGAGCCTGTACCTGTATTCAGCTCGCGTTACATTTGAAAAAACAACTAATCTGATTACAGTTACTTTAGTAAACCTGAAGTGAATACATTTTGGAATACTTATTGGAATTATTGGTGGAAAAGTTTCCTCACAAAATGTAATCATTACCGGCAGAACTTGTGCACAGCGCAGCAGCATGTCTGGGAGGCCCCGCCCCCGCGCGCAGATGAGAGAGAGAGATCTCTTTTTAAATAATTGAAAGTTAGAAAATGAGAGATGGTTCGATAAAACGTGCAAGATAACGTTTATGAAGCATTTCTTTATTTTCGAAATGATGACATTTCATAACGGGATCAAATCAAAGTGAATGGCCTGCTGCTGCTGAAGGCATGTGGCAAATATAACTGTCCTTTGCCTAATTTATAAAGTAAACCTTGCAATCAGTTACAGCTGCCCTAAGTCTGTAGCCAAGTCTAATAACACCAGTGTACACGTTGCTGTGTCGATACAGATATGTATTTGTTAATTATTTGTCTTTACTAGTCATGCACCTGGTTTATCGTAGCAAGCAGTGGAAACTCCCCTCAAGAAGCGACAATTGCCAAGGGCGTTGCAACCCT